TGTAAACAAAATTCCCAAAACAAAACTACAATGGACAGTACATGTACCTGGAAGCAGTAGCTCAGGTGTAAATGATGAATTGTCATTAGTGTCTCCCACTTTGAGTAGTATACTTTTGCAGGAGAAGATATATAAGCTTCAATCCTTCAGTCTTCTCTCCTTGGTTGTTTCTTACATTCTTCTAAATTGTTTGCTATATATAAATGTATTCATCCATAGGAGCCCATGGTGGGATGGATGCCACAACAACTATCTGTCATCGGTACACTCCGCAAGAACAATTGAAGGTGTTTGTCAAGACAGCTGACATAATTGTCACGGCTGCTGGCCTCCCAGGTCTCATAACTGGTGACATGATCAAGCCAGGATGTGCAATATTAGATGTTGGCATTAACAGAATCAAAGACCCTGTATCTGGAAAAGCCAAACTTGTAGGTGACTGTGACTTTGAAAGTGAGTTCTCTCTCCTTTTATATTTCAACATGAAGCTAATGGACAGTGATAAATAATATTTGTCTTATCGTTTGTACTAAAAAATGATTGGTTCATGTGCATTTTTCTTCTCTTCAGGTTGTGCAGAGAAAGCAGCATACATAACGCCTGTTCCAGGAGGTGTTGGACCTATGACTGTTGCTATGCTAATGCGCAATACTGTTTTGGCTGCAGACAAACACATAGCATACTGATAACAAGTATAGGGATTATGAGTTAGTTGTCTTGCAGAGATATATTTTTAAATCTTTAATAAGAACACATACTGGGCATGTTGTGATTGTAAAGGTACCATGAACTTGCTTATTATTGATAAGCAAGGATCCAAATAACAGTATTAAAAGATATGTGATAAATGTCTTTTTTATGATTGGGAAATGTTCATCATTTGCACCCACTAACAGCTAATTTTTCATATACATTTTATTACCTTATTTTTCATGAATCTCATGTTTGCCAATTGTTTATTCATTTTATTTTCTGTTTTTATTTATTTATTATTTAGTTGATTTGATTAAGTAAAAGGCCCATAATTGTGAGTGATGTGATACAACGTGGTGTGAGAAATTACTTTGCTTAGGTTTATTAGTGATCAGTAAAGTTTTGTAATGAAAGTATATTTTGCTAATTAAAATAACTATTTGTTTAAATACAGACTTTAAAATGTGGCAGTCAAGATAAACAATATCTTAAGGAGGCTTCCACTTTAAACTGATTTTCCAAATTTTTTGTACCTATGAGGACAACATGAAATTAAAACTATTGTAAGGCATTTAGTACTCTTGTTTATTTTTTTATCTTTGATAATTGTAGCAATTACAACAGACTTCTTTGTACCAGTCAATAAGGCCTGGTGACAATGTAGTTAGGAGATTGTGCAAACCACTGATAATCTTTCTTTCTTTCTTTCTTTTTTTTTTTTCCCCTTTTCCTTTTCCTTTTTCCTTGAATTGTCAGCAGTTTATGCTTGCCCCTTGATTTCTTTTTAATAAAGTATAAAAAAGTTGAGGGCTGTGATATGAGATTTTTAAAACCATTTTATTCTAATACCTTCCACAAAGAGCCCTCCTTTACTATGGTAAGCTCAGATGCCATCCATAGTCAGTCAGTTAACCCCTTGGTGCCGGGTATGACGTGTACGTACGTGCTATGCCCACAGTGAGTACTTGTTTGATTGTTTTTACGCATAGATGGCAACACTTGTACTAATTCCCCAATGAGCCAGTTACGAGCACCGCCCGTCTCGCCCGGGCGCTAGCAGAGCCATCTATCGGCAGACATTTCACGAAAAACATAGAAAGTGGGCACAATATTTTCCCCATTTTTTGTTCATTTTCCCCGGCACCATTGGGTTAACCCATTGCCGCCGGGGAAAATGCTGTGCCTATTTTCTATACTTTTTTGTTAAATGTCTGCCTATAGATGGCTCTGTTAGCGCCGATTTGAAATGGCAGGAAAAAGCGTATTTTTCACTAGTGCCATGAATATCGATGGTGTTATTTTTATCATAAACATTATAATTTTTATAATGTTTTTTAGCATTAGTAACAGCAAAATAAGATACCGTAAAATATTTCGTAAATCAAAGAAAAGGGTGAACGGGCAAGACAGGCGGTACTCGTAACTGGCTCATTGGTGATTTAGTACAAGTGTAGCCATCTATGTGTGAAAACAATCTAACAAGTAATCTCACAGTGGCCATGGCATGGCATGCCCGGCGGGAATGGGTTAAGAGAGATTATATATTTATCTCTTTTTTTTTTTTTTTTTTTTTTTTTTTTTTTCTTTAGGAGATGTACAATATGTGAAATTTGGATACAAGTGACACAAATAGAAATCGTATCCATGTGTTGGTGCAGGCAGTGAGTGGAACGCACCAGTTATGGCTGAAATGAGCCCTGCAAGCAAGCCAACTCAGCTGCCCATACATAGGACAAGCACACCTCAAATTCCACCCCAGGCAATGAGTTAAAGTGTGATATATATATATTTAGAAGCCAGTACACACACAAAAAAATTAAATATATAAATAAATAGTAAAAAAATGTTTCCTACGACGAGGTGTAAATTATTTGCCCATTGGCTTACTTTATCCCCCCAACCCCATGCCTGTTGTTATTGTGGGGTGCATATGAAACAGGACTGAGGCCCAATGTTGGGGATCTCTTCTACCTTTGGGCCTAAGCCTTTAGCTTAACCAATTTTGCATGGTCTTTTCTTGTCTCCCTTTCCCTTATCCTTCTCTTCTCAAATTCCTTCTTCTGAGTTATTAGTTATTAGAGCCATGCTGAAAGGATGAAAGACTGACTTTCTATCAGTCCTGAATGGCCTCAGGAAGCCACAAGCATGGTATTCCCTTGGTTAAAAGTCTGATCCTAACCCCTCTTGCACAGTCTTCTTCATTGTCTACTCCTCCCCAAATCCCTGCTCATTGTTGTCGTTGGGGGGGGCAAAGGAGATACTACTGCCCACTCTTCGATGTTTGCAGTTACCTCTATCCATTCTGAATCATCCACCCAGGTCATTACTCAACCTTCAGAATACACCAGAATATACATCCTCTCTCATTTTTACAATGATGATTCTTCAAGTTCTTGGCCACCAAGGAGTCAATTTGTAGGCCTACATGCGCTTGCCATATCTTCCTTTCAACTTTTCAGGATTTTTTTCTAATTTTATTAATATCAATTGTTGATGGTTAAAAAGCAAATATATGTACTAGTCAGCAAAGGTTATGTCGCACTATAGGAAGGCACAGTAGCAAAAAGGGTAAAGAGGGGAGTGTAAAAAGAGTAAGACCAAGATTAGCAAAAAAGGAAAAAGGGGGCATTTTAAGAGTGATCAAATTGTGGGTACAGCCCTGTGAGAACAGATACAGAAAATATTCCAGTGTATAAGAACAATAGTGATAAGTGTAATAATGGGGTGTCAGAGAAGTGGGAGAGGAAGAATTCAGGGAATAAGACAAGGGAATGCCTACAACCAGGAAGACGTGCTCATGTCAGAGAAAGGGAAGCCAAAGCCGATAACTCAGATATTATCTTTCCTCAGGGAACTAAGAAAAAACTAGCCCCGGGTTCAGATGGGATCTCATAACCCATCATTTCTCATCTAGGACTGGCAGGTGAGCTTGCATTCCTACAACTCATCAACAAGTCCTGGGAAAGTAGAAGAGGGCTACCATAGTTCCCATCCCAAAAGCAAAGGAGCCAGTGAAGTATCGCCCCATCTCTCTCCTTAGCTGTCTGGGCAGGACGACCGAGAGGATGGCACTAACCGATTCCAATGGAAAATGGGACCCCGCATGAACACCTCCATGGGTTCACAAGGGGCATGAGCACAGCACACAGCATAGCCAAGCTCTGAAGCACAATTAGCACTGCCACATCTGTGGTAGTATTCCTAGACCTGCAGAAGGTTTATGAATTAGCAAGTCCTCTTGCTATTCAGGAGACCCTGATCCAGATAGGTAACTATTTCAGGAACAGAAAAGCCAAAGTCGGATTCCAATTTCACCTATCACAGCACATGCCACTAGAATGGAACGCCACAAGGTGGGGGCCTCATCCCAGCCCTTTTCAACACCCTAAGGGTGTGTGCCTAGAGAAAGCAGGTTTGCCCGCGCCGGCAACCAGCGCCGACCCGCGCCAAGAATTAAACCACAAACAAGTGCAGTTGTGCATAGAGTAAGCAGGGTCGAGCGTGTCGGCAATGATAGCCTGCTTTAACCCGCTTTCCTGTTTGCTCGGATCATCCTTGCTTGCTCAACCCGCGCGGGTGGACGCTATTGCATGGAGAGCAGGATAGATGTTGAGCTTCTGATAGCCAAAGTTTATGAGAGACAGCCAGTGTGGACAGAAACAATGTGGTGGATAGGCTGTGGGCTGAAATAAGCCATGATCATATTCTCCAAACTCTTATCTCTAGTAGTTTATTTCATGCACTGCTCTTCTTTTTCTCTTGACTTTTGTTAGAACACTATCGAGCAGCATGAAGTCATCATCAGACGATTAGCTCTTGTATACCTTGCGGATTGCTATTGATGACAGATACTGCCTTTGTCCGTGTCGCTCACCGAGCGGGTCGGAACTGGTTACCCGTGTCCTTTGTGAACACCTTATCATGCTGGTTTCCGGCGCCGCCTCGCGCCGGTAACCTGTTTTCTCTGTGCACACACATTAATGTCCGACATTCTCAACATACATCTCCCTGTGATATGCAAGATCATCTATGCAGACGATCTTGCAATGATCTCTATTTGACCACACTGCCTAAGAACCCAGCGCTGTCTGGACCTTGAATCCGAGTGTTGTGGGACAGGACTAAATCAAAAGCCATGGCTCTGACACACAATGCTCAAGGCTCAAGTCTGAGTATTCAGGGAATGGAGTTAGAGTGGGTCTAGGTCTTCCAATACCTTAGGGTAAGGATTGACCAAACCTCCTTCCAAACCTTCCAAAAGAAGGTCCAGTACCTGGTTGACCGAACCAAAGCAAGACAATCATGAGAGCAATGGCTGGGAGACACATAGGAACTAGATATAAAGTACTAAGATCATTCTATGTACATGCCGTCCGTCCCATTATGGACTATGTCGCCTTGATAGCCACAAAACCAAGATTAAGAGAAAAAATGGAGACAGTTCAAAATAAAGCTGCCAGGATCATTCTGGGTGCCCCAAGGTGGACAAAGGTCCTCAACCTCCTCATGGAGACAAACCTCCCCTTGGACTCACGAATTGATTTAATGGCAACACAATTCCTGTCAAAGGTCATCCAGGCTCCCAGGAACTTAAGCATGAGACAGAAATACTCAGATGTCAAGGACAAGATCATGTATGACACGTGGTCATACATACATACTCTTGGGCAGCCACTGACTCTCTACAGCACTGCATACCCAAAGACAACATCTACCTCTTAGCCACTGTGCTTACCATGACGCAGAGGATTCTTGCTCAGGTAGAAGAATAATCCTAAACTGGGTCCCCAGCCACATAGGGAACGAGCTAGCTGACAGACTAGTCGACATTGGCAGAGGTAGCAAAGAAACAACATGCAAGGGGTGTTGCCCCCTTACTATTAATCTACCACTTCTTTCACTTTCAATATTTTACCTCCCCCTTCTTGATTCACCTCTTTACTTTGTTTATTCCATTTTATTTCATTGACAGCCATTGATTGTATAGGGAATGGGAGTATAGGGATTAGATGGTAAGGCTTTTTTGTCATGGTTAGAAAGTTGAATGTCCTAAAGAGCTCAAAGGGAGTTGGATGGGGACACCTGAGAAACAAAGGTTTGCTTATGAGGAGAGGGGGCATACGTCTGAGTAGCAGAGGAAGGGGTAGGTGTAGTAGAAGATGGGGTGGAACGTTTGGATTTTCTGAAGTGACAGGTAGAGCAAGGAGGGGGAAGAGTAGGCATAAGGGAAGGGATAGAAATGGTAAAAGAGTTTGGCTTGGAGAGGGTTGGGGCAGAAGTGGGAACATAAGGAGGAGAAAGAAGCACTGGGAGAGATGTAGAAACATCTTGGGAAGAATGAGGAGGAGCACTGGACAGCACTGGAGTAAGGAGCACCAAGTTTTAATCTGAGAACTGCCTCCTCAGACTCAAATGTGTAAATAGGACAGCCCCTTAAAATACATTATGGGAGCCACCACATTTGGCACGTGTGTGACCAGGTTGGGTACACGGGCCAGCGGGCAGTTGAGTGACAGTGCTTGGCAGAATGGCCAAAACGCCAGCATTCTGATGTTGACAGGGAGGGGTC